CCCTGCGGGCTATAGTACTAGAGGCTATAGGGCAAACAGAGGTAAACAGAGCTTGCACAAACATGATTATTAGGATTTCAAATGTTACATCATAACTATAAGGGTACCTCTTTCCTCAATGTGTTTGGCATCTTTGTATAAATATTAAATGATTATAATAAATAATTGGATAAATATGAGATAAATCTCTTCCTAATTTGGCACCACGCATACCACCACACGCTCGCTATGAGCGGTTGTTGGCCCGCGATCGAAAACGACACGGAGCGTCGCGTTGAAGAGAGCGTTCACCACGACGCTATGCGAGCTGCCTGCTATGCGAGCTGCGAGCTGAGAAAAAACTACAATGCGTCCAAGAGAACAATCAAGCGAACAATGCGAATTAAACAATCAAACTCTGGCTCTCGACACTGGCGCCGTCTACCGCCGTACTCATTCTGACCCGGGTCGCGTGCTGGTGCGCGTTCACACGGTGCAAATGAACCAGCGCTCGGGTCGTTTTCGAGAAAAAGTTTGTGTGGGCGCTTGGCCTGGGACGCATTTGACACGGGTCGTTTCGCTCCGTGTGAACGTGGCTATTCATTTCATGCCAATTCATTGCTCAAACTGTTAAGGATATTATTGTTATTAATCAGTTATTTACTCAAGACGTAGTGTTTGCGGTGATCGAACACGTTTACACAATCAAGGTCTAGAGAGTCGAGCAAAGTTCAACAATGGTTGCAGTTGCAAAGCTCCCACCTCCACCCACCCACATAACCAGTATTAGTCTAACTGAACCAAGAGTATGAGCAAATGTCTCTTTCATGCCCTATGAGTTTGTACTAGGCTCATGAAAATTTGTGTTGCTGCCATATCTTCCATGTATATAGGCACAGTGAATTGACACTGCATGTGTGGCTAGTACATTTTTGACATTTTCTGTGCTTTTAAACTGATGGAATGTCATTGAACTTGCTTTTATGCTTTATTGTGAGCAAGTATTAGTATATAGTCATAGGAATATTTCAACAGATTTCTAATTTTGGAAGGATATTGAAAATAGCATCTAGACAATCTCATAACTCAAGTAAACATGTATCGTAATGAGTTTCGCCCGCGATTACCAAAACTGTCCTTTTTAGTTTTTGAGCTCATGAGAAAGTGACGCCATTTCTAGATCTAAATCTCGGAGAACGTGCGCAGTCGACGAGAGCTATTTCCCCGGAGAGCGAGACACATTTAAGCAGGAGAGAGCGCAGGAGAGTGGCTACCTGTCGTCGCTGAGATGGCGGAAGCACGCCAAGCCGTAGCATTCAGCTTCGCGATCACCCACGACGGGCTTGAAGTCGACTTTGACCACGAGATCCTGGGAGACATCTGGCATGGTGGCATCCGCTCGTGGTACAAGCGTATGTGGCGTGCATTGGTAAGCATTTCTTTCTCTAAATCCTCAACCATCCGCCGTCTCCCATCGTTAGCCGCACACGCACGTTGTAGGAAACAGTGTTCGCGACAACTGTTGTATTCAAACCCATTTGAAATTACTCTAGGTTTGTGTCGACATTTCGAATTCGATCCGGGAATTGATGCGTGGGTATCAGGCAGACAGGACACTCTTAAAATTGCCAGGAGGCAGGATGATAGTGAGAGGTTGAATCTAGTGGCAGGGTGCGAAATTAATGGGAGTCCGGAGTCAAATACTTCCTGATTTACTGCCGGACTCCCTGATTTGACATATGCAGTAAGTCCGTGTGACTCCCTGAAAATTCTGCCATATTAACTAGTTCGTTCCAGAGCACGGCCTTGCGGAATTACCGTATTTTTTCAGCAAATGTCCAAAGAAAATTTGGCAGACGTGCAACCGCGTGAATCTTCAAAATAAGCACGTGTTATTGTTAATATCTTTAGTTTTGAACTTCAGACAGCAGACTCCCTCATTTTGCTGCAGACTCCCTCTTTTTGAGGGCAGGGAGTCCTACGACTCCCTTGTTCAAAAGTTGATTTCTACCCCTGTAGTGGCAACACGTAGAGCTACGAACACGGCACGTTTTTGTCAAATTGTCATGTTCTTCCCATTTTGTTTGTCGGTAATGGGACATAAGGCTGGTATCGTGGCAAGGTGGTGACAGCATTTATACTGTAATATATTACCACTAGGCCCTAGGGCTACCTAGAGCCTAGGGGGATTTCACATGAGTCTGTTCCATGCTTGAATAATTTTAAGTGCACAGTTATCACCTGAGCTTTTTTTCTGCAAAGTAGAGGAAAGTGGAGCACCTAACAATACAATTGCGTCGTATGTAGTGAAAGCAGTACTCGCTGAAACTTGTCGCAATGGTATGCGCTGCTTGTCCCCCTCCCCCGCCTGCAGTGAGTGTTTATAACCATATCCAAGGTAGAAAGTCCACACTAGACATTATCGCGTTTTTGTCCAGGGCAAAGTGCAGAGACTTTGCCTAGACTTGGACGCGAGCCAACAGTGTCATGTACATACATGTCACCCCGGGTTTTCGTTGGAAGCCGCAGCCACGGTGAAAATAATCGTCTATTTGAGCACTGTACGTCCGCTAATTTGAGCAGTGCTACTTTTACCACCGAAAAGTAGGCCATTTAGCCAATGTTATAGCCGTCTACATTTTTTCCCTATGTACCGGTTTTGGTAGAGAGGAGGGAGATGATGGCAACCTGCCTGCCAAAAAGTCCTGGATCTATGGGCAAAAACCACTATTTTCAGCCTCTGTAATATCTTATGAAAATGAATTAATTTAGTAAGTCTGCGATTGCTGACATAAGTGCCGTTATATGACGCGATGTAAATGTACCTAAACACGATATAAGAACACTGACCTGCGTCTGCGTTCGGTAAACTCTTATCGAGATATCTCGAGACAAGTGAGTAATTGCAAACAGTGTGTACTTTTGGCGCCCTACTCCTGTGTTGTCATTGATTTTATGTGTTGTCTGTCACATGAATAGCATCTAATCTTTTACCACAAGCAGGGTCAGGTTAAAGGTTTCGTAGGACCTGTGCACTTTTATCAATTGAATAATCACGTTTTTGTCGATTTTTTTTTTTACGATTTGCTGGGTCACCGTGATCTGTGCATTTATTTCGATGGTCCATGAATCAATACAAACCTTGGAGTATTGAAAAAAATCATTTCACAGAGTACAGCAAACATTTGCTGGACCTGAGGGCAGTACCCTAGGGTACATGCCTGTACCTAGGTGCCTAACCATAACCCTAACCTTAACCCTAACCCTAATCGCATCCTTAGGTATAATTTTAACCCTAACCCTAAAACTTACTCTAACCTCAACCTTAACTCTAATTCTAATCCTAACCTTAACCTAACCTTTTCTCTAGCCCTTACTCTAACTTGAACCCTAAACCTAACCCTAACTCTAACTATAATCCTAATCCGTACTCTAACCCTAACCTTAACCCTACCCTTAACTCTAACATTTACGCTAACCCTAACCTTAACCCTACCCTTAACTCTAACCTTGACGCTAACCCTAACCTTAACCCTAACCTTAACACTAACCATAACCTCGGGTCAATCCAGTGTGTCTCCTGATAATTGTATACTGATCACTCTTATTCAAAACTGCAAGGAATCAATTCTTTTTTTCTTTTTTTGAAGAATGCTTTTTGTCTACACTTTTAGACACATTTGAGATACTATTCTCATTGAATTTTATCACCCTACCCTTCTCACCTGTTCTCTGACACCACAATACTGCATGGGCCAATTATACTACATTTTTTCAGTTGTCCGATCAGGCAACTAGCTGATAGAATAACTTGTCCGACATGGACGATCACTTGTTCCGGGCAATCGGACAACCGTTAGTGCCCAGGGCTGATTTAACAACTACAATTTTTTAGTTGTCCAATCAGGCAACTAGCCAAAAGAATAACTTGTCAAACATAGATTCACTTGTCCCGGGCAATCGGACAACCGTTAGTGCCCAGGGCTGATTTAACAACTACAATTTTTTAGTTGTCCAATCAGGCAACTAGCCAAAAGAATAACTTGTCAAACATAGATTCACTTGTCCCGGGCAATCGGACAACCGTTAGTGTCGAGAGCTGGCCCATGTTACTAGACGAACCTTAAATAATCTGCAGCCATGCATAGCTCAGTAATAGGTGGAGTGCAGCAAACCAAGTTGTGTCAAATGTTGTCCAAAGGCACAGTTGTGTTCCGTGTCACAGGGGAGGCAGGGTAATTTACATACAATCAGGAGTCTATTGATAGACTGTCCTCATACAATTATTGTGCATCATTTTTGCACGTCATTGTAGGTTAGACCTTTGAGTAATCATTCAGAATGATTACTCCAAGGTTAGACACAGTTCCAACCCTCTGTTTGTGTGTGTGTGTGTGTGTGTGTGTGCGTGTGTGTGTGTGTGTGCGTGTGTGCGTGCGTGCGTGCGTACGTGAGTGCGTGAGTGTGTTAGTGTTGTACACAATGTCACACACCTCAATCTTTGGGTGATGCAGCACAATTGTGAAATGTCATCTGGAAATTATGCAGTTTATCACGGTAACACTGCGCAAAACTCAAGATAGTGTGTAACACAATTATCGCTGTAGTTTCAAAAAGAGCAACAGTATATATTGTAGAACTAATTAATATCGTATCGAGATTACTGGCAACTAGTGCAGCCGTTGATGTGAAATACGTGCGTGCTCCTCCTACCTACCAGTGCCACCCCTGAAACGCTGGCTTGGTTTACCGCAAACAAGATATATGCTGTTTCGTCTGCTGACAAATGCATCTGTAATCTACCATTAATCAACTTAAACGACATCGAGATTTTCAAAATTTCGGCGTTTTACATGATAGGGTAAGTAACTACACCACGGGTATACACCACAGGGATGGGATTGAAGTTGTACTGCATTCATCATTTATTAATTTATGCTATTTTGATTGCATCTTTATTACTAGTATCAGGAGTTAATAAAAGCAGATGTGCAATAATAACAGCACCTTTTCTGATAATATGTTAATTATTATCTAGCATGTAAATAATATTAATTAGTGATATAATCTAGTATATTGGCGAAAATCAAACTCGAGTTGGCAGCTAGCTGCGACTCTCTCGCGTTGGTCAAATAGGAAATGTCAAAATAAAACGGGCAAAGTTTACTAATTCCACTGAAACTACGACGTGGTTGTTCCATTTCACCGTTGTACGCTCTCATGTACTTTAAAATACGCTCTTGATAAAATGAAGATCGTCATTGTTAAAAAATATAAAAAAAAGCATTTTCTGGTTATGTAAGTAACACGTACCTTTCTTTGGCGACAAGGGAAGCATTCATTACCTTAACATATTTGTAAGCTAAAGAAAGCTAATGAATAATTAGTGGCATAAATTAATGATCAATTTGTTTGCAGCATGATCTCAGGGCAGGCATCTACCCTGTTAAGCAGTACTCTCATCTGTTTGCAGCAGGATCTCAGGGCAGGCATCTACCCTGCTAAGCCATACTCTCTCATCTGTTTGCAGCATGATATCAGGGCAGGCGGCTACCCTGTTAAGCAGTACTCTCTCATCTGTTTGCAGCATGATCTCAGGGCAGGCATCTACCCTGCTAAGCCATACTCTCTCATCTGTTTGCAGCATGGTCTCAGGGCAGGCATCTACCCTGCTAAGCCATACTCTCTCATCTGTTTGCAGCATGATCTCAGGGCAGGCATCTACCCTGCTAAGCCATACTCTCTCATCGTCTTCATGGTCATCAACGTTTTGCTGCGCATGCTCGACTACGACCCATCGTGGGGAGGCATAGATGCTATTGACCGCCACATACCGCTGTGAGTAACTCTTAGTTTTGCGTCCCTTTAATTGGCCTATCCATCTTTGGACGGATACTGCCACGGGCTCGCTTCGGATATTGTTACCCGTTTAGTCGAGCTTAGCCGATTTGTACGTGTTTTTTTGGGGGACGCACACGTAAATTACGAGTAGTATTGTGACAGTCCTTGGGGGCAGTGGTCCTCGGAGCTTATTTGGCTGGATAGACGTTTATTGGGCTAATTGTTGGACAGGCGTTTACTCACTCGCACGGAAAACCTGTTGCTGTTGGCCCTTATACCTCAGAGATTCTGATTCTGCTGTCAGCTCTGGAGATCATTATGATCATTATCAAGAGCTAATAATCAAGAGCTAATAAAGGTATTATTAGCTCTTGTCATTATGGATAGCTTTAGTTCATTACCATTGAGCACGTGCACCTAATTATTAGTAGATTTTGCAGGTTTGGTCAATTATTTTTTGGTGTGTTTGCGCGTTTCGAGGTTCTAGCAAAGCGAGTACCGCAGGTGCTCACCCAGCTAGTGGGGGTGGGGCATGCCCCCCGGAAATCTTTTGAAAAAATGGTGCAATTTCGTGCATTCTAAGCTATTGTGGTGCATTATAAGCACTGTTCTATATGGAAGAACAGTGATTTTCGTCAGCGAGGCGGTGTTTTTGGACAAATTTCTGTGTGGCGGCTGAGAATTTGAGCGAGGCGGCCCGCCTCACTCGTGTCAATGCAGGGGAAACACTGATTAGTATTATAGAGGTTGTTGATTACGGTATATAGTACTAAGTAGGGTGTACTAAGAGAATATTCACGGAGAATTGGAAGGAATATGAGGAGACTGTTCGTAAACCAACATCTCAGTTGGAACAATACAGGTGTGCCGAATAATACTATATACTAAATATAATAATGCCGAATAATACTGGGGATACTCGTCTGTATCTTTACCTCTGCCCAACGGAGTTGGAGGGGAGGTTATGTGATCGGTCTCGTGCGTTCGTATTTGTTAGTGTGTGTGTTCGTGTAGCCAGCAGCAGGCCAGTCAGTGTTAGTGTGTTAGTGTGTTGGTGCGATCGATATTAGCGCGTCCAGCGAGCGTGTACATGTGAGCGAGCAGCAGCAACGAGCGGCTGCTACGAGCTATGTTGCTGGCGAAGGTATGCACTCTCCGTGAGTGCCCTCTGTCTAGTTATATCTTTTATGCATTTGTTTGTGATTGGAAAATAAGTCGATAGCGGGGAGAGCTTCTCCGTTGCATTGTTTTGGTAATAGATTAGAGCTGCGAATGAAGGTGGGGGTGTGGACGTGGCAGGAAAAGAGTTAGTAATAGGCTTAGGGTAAGGGTAGTGTTAGGCTTAGAGTATGGGTTAGGGTTAGTATTAGGGTAAGGTTAGCCTTTGGGTTAAGGTTAGAGTGAGGGTTAAGGTTAGGGTTAGGATCAGGGTTAAGGTTAGGGTTGAGGATAGGGTTAAGGTTAAGGTTAGAGTTAGGATCAGGGTTAGGATTAGAGTTAGGATCAGGGTTAGGATTAGAGTTAGGATCAGGGTTAGCGTTAAGGTTCGAGTTAGGATCAGGGTTAGCGTTAAGGTTAAAGTTAGGATCAGGGTTAGCGTCAAGGTTAGAGTTAGGATCAGGGTTAGCGTTAAGGTTAGAGTTAGGATCAGGGTTAGCGTTAAGGTTAGAAAAATTCAATCCAGACTGCATGCTACCACTGCTCACAGTGTGTATATCCGCAATAGCGTTTCTGTTTACGTTCGTCGAACGGTGATTTACGTTCAGCTGACGCTCAGGGTTAAACACTACATACTGTCTGCATCTTCGCGTCCCATTGGTTTTGCACAAGCTCATGATCTCCAAAGGCGGCAGGACATGCCGCGCTACACGGCTGAAAAAGGCTCACTGAAACGTGGAACACTCTGCATCCGTCTTAGTCATCACGTTTGGCTGCGCATTAAGGCGCATGAATCGGCGTCGTTACGGCTCGACTACGACCATCGTGGGGCGACATCGTACATAGTCATGTCTATTGCGACCCCGCCGACAAACACTCCACAGCTCATAGTACACTGAGTCGTATGAGTACAACGTGACTTTAGATTTGACGAACTCACTTGTAAATAGAGCCTGAATGGCTGCTTATCTTTTTGGAGCACGGAAGATACCTAGAGCCGCGCTACGGGCATCGCTTCGGTATATTGTTGAGCCCGAGCACCGTCGGCGCAAAAAGAATCTTAATAGTCGAGCCATTTAAGACAATTGTCAAGACTACATGGGAGTCACAGTATAGATCCGTGCGTCGCAAGAGCTAGATCACGATTTTGTAACGTGTTTTTTTTGGGGGGACAGCAACAACTAAAATTACGAGTAAGTAATTGTGACAGTACCATTGGAAGAGGTCAGTGGTCCTTCAAGTTTTATTGTCTAATTGTTGGACAGGCCTTTACTCACAGGTCATCGCAGAACGGCTCAGACTGAGCGAGGCTTGCTGCTTGCCTTACTATATGTATATCCCGCTTTGAAGGTGATGGAATGGTGGCCAGCGTATCCGTATTAGAGGCCGCCCGCTGGCCGGCGTTGGCGGCGCCTTCGCGGCGAATAATCCGCTTTGCAAGAATGTTCAAGCCTAAGAATTTACGTAAACGCTTTGCGTAGACTTTACACGAGGCTGGAGCGAGTGCCGTAAACCACTGCGAAATCTGTCCCGCAGGTGTTTCCAAACATAACGCAGGCATATCATTATTTTAATTAAGAACAAACATTAATAAAATTACTACTCCAATCCTAAAAATAATAATAAATAATTACCGAAATACTACAGCAGACAGGTCGGCGCTTGACGCTTCTTCCTGTCATACGCTTGGGCCATTGGCTTTTCGTTGTATAAGCGAGTTCGTAGTTACCGTGTAACGTTGCACACCGGCACGTGTACGTGCACACGCAGCGCAACATGCAACCGAGGTGTACGTTACACACGGTGGCAACAAGCACGCACGTGTACGTGCACACACACGCCACGCACGCAACGCGCGCCCGTGTAACAGTAAAGCACAACGCACGCACGCACCAGCGTGTACGTGCATCACGCACCGCACAAGCACGGCAACGTGTTAATAAAACCCGTTTTGGGGGCAACGCGCCAACAGCATCGCAACGCACGAGCACGTGTACCGGGCACACTAGCACGCACGCGCGCCCGTATGTACGACGCTCGGGCTACAAAACGACGGGAAAACCGATGCGTTGGCTGGTTTGGGCCCTTATACGTCAGAGATTCTGATTCACAGCGCACTGGTTAGCGGTGCACAGCATTAAACGGCAGGGACCTTCACGCACTAATGAGCACTACCAAGTGTTAACGCTGCCACACACAGACTAATAAGTCAGGGAGGGCTAATAAAGTTATTAATTAGCCATCTGGTCATTAGCTGGATCACTTTATAAGTTCAATCTACCAGCACGTGCCACGCACACGCCCGTGCACTAATTATTATGACAGAGTCTGCAACGCACAGAGGTCTTAGCGTGGTCAGAGGCGTGTCTATGGGCGTACCAATTAATTATTTTGGTTGTGTTTGCGCGAATTTCAGAAAGTCTAGCAAAGACCAGTACCCACTGGCAGGTGGCCACCACGCACGTGTAAGCAGCTAGTGGAGAGCGCGAGCGCGCGCGCAGCGACGTGTAACTAGTTGCATTCAGCTGAAAAAATGGTAACCAATTTCGTGCATTCTTAACAACGTTATTGTGGGCATTATAAAGCACTGTTCCTAACGTTATGGAAGGTCACGCACAGCACGAGTGCACCGTGTTATCGTTCTACATCAAGCACGACCAGGAGCCAGCGTGTTTTTGGACAATTTTCTGTGTGGACGGCGTGAGAAATGTGAGCGACGGACGCCCGCTGTGTACCAACATCTAACAGTGTCACACACAATCGGCGACAAGGCGAAAGCGAGCCACGCACTCGCGAGATAGTGTACGTACACAACGCACGCACGCAAGTGTACGTGCAGATAGACTAACGCTTACGCAACGCTACGGAGGTTGATTGTAGATGATACCAACGGTATAACGCCCACGTACGATACTAGCACATACGGGCGGCTGGTTGTTAAACGTGCTGACAACGAGAATAATCCACAGGAGAATTGGAAAGGAATGATGAGGGGACTGTTACGATAACACAACGCAAACGCGTTGACTATACTCTGCATCGAACATCACTATTCTGGAACCATAATACACCGCACCGAGTCTGTGGCTCAAAAATATCAGATCGTCACATATATCCACGCACGCAACAGCAACGCACCTAAATAATATAGCACAAATTCGGCCCACCGATAAATACTATGGGGATACGTCGTAGCAAGCGGTATCTTTTTACCGTCATGGGACCAACGGAGTTGGGAGGGAGGTTATGTGATCGCTCTCATGTTGGCGTTCGTATTTTTGAGTGTGTGTGTTCGTGTACCAGCATAGGCGAGGCCAGTCCAGTGTTAGTGTGTTAGTGTGTTGGTGCGATGCAATACTTAGCGGCGGTGCCAGCGAGCGTGGTACCAAATGTGAGCGAGCACACAACGAGCCGGCTGCTTACGAGCCTATTGTTGGATGGCGAAGGTTATGCCACTCATCCGTGAGTTGCCGCTATGTCTAGTTAGATATCTTATAGCATTTGTTTGTAAGATTTGGAAACATAAAAGTAAGCACGCACGCACCGTCACGCACGTCGAACGGTAAGCAACGGGGAGTAGCTATACCTCGCTTGTCACAATTGTTCGCGAGCGGGTCTAAGAGACGTCGAAACAGCTGTACTGCGAATGAAGGTTAGCAGGCGAGCGTGTGGACGTGGCAGGAAAAAGAGTTAGTAATAGGCATTCGAGGATAAAGGGTAGTGCTTTAAGGCTTAGAGGATATGGGATTAAGGGTTAGTATTAAGGTAAGGTTAGCCCTTGGGTTAACGGTTAGAGTGAAGGGGTTAAAGGTTAGGGTTAGGATCAGGTTAAGGTATAGGGTTAGGATAGGGTTAACAGGTTAACGTTAGAGTTAGGATCAAGGGTTAGGATTAGAGTAGGATCTAGGGGTTAGGATTAGAGTTAGGATCAGGGTTAGCGTCTAAGAGCGGCACTGACGTGTAGACGGTTGTAGGCGACTCAGCGTGCTTTTATTCAGTATGAATGAACTGTGGCATATCAGAGTGATTCATAACGCAATATATGAGGTAGTCACAGCTCATCAATAGGCCCTCAGAGTTATCAGGCACTCATAAGTAGCACAGCAGATGGAGTATCAGGCCATTTAAAAGTGGCTTAAAGATAGCATAAAGATGCACGCGAGGTCTATGGTAGCGTTTTGAGATATTATCACCTATTTAGAGTTAGGTATGATTCAGGTGTTCAGGCGCACAGTTGATATGGTTAAATGAGCTTAAGGATAGGATTGGAGCAGCTATAGCGTTTAGCACCTTTCAATACAAGGTCTCAAGCAAGTTAGCCATTTAGAGCTATGGCGTAGTGTTAGGAGATTTTAGCTTGAGAGCGTTAGAGATATTACATCATCATAGGTGGTGCTGAGATATAGGCAATGTAAGGGTAGGGTGCTGACGCGCGCACTGCAAACTGACGCTGTTGATTGATCCGCGTCGCTACCCGTACGAGCTTGCCGAGTACGTACTAGTATATCTAACGAAAATCGGGTGCATACCCGCAATACAGCTTTACGCAACGTTGATGAATCAAGCCGCGTCCGTCCTGAGAGGTATTTTAGAGACTATAGGTGAGTGCAAATGAGCAAGGCCACGTGGTCATTGAGGCTGTACACGGTCTCGCATGGGTCTTTGGCCGTCTACCTACCTGCGCTTTGTCCTTCAAATGCACATATAGTTTTCAAGTGCGGATTTTACCATAATACAGGCGACAGCTGGGTATATAATTTTGTACAAGCACATTGACACTGTCAAGCCGGCTACCAGAAAGATAGTACTCCCTGATCAAGACCAAGAAAAGCACAGTGGGTGATAGCCACGAGGTGGTTTGATAGTGAGATTAGCGAGCTTCATTGCTGGAAAGAGATAGCATATTCCTGGCTAACAGCTTATACATCGAGGAGTAAAGATGAAATTACAGTGAGCGCAAGAGGATTTGGTGTAAGAGAGGTCGTACACTTGTCTGCACAGAAACGAGGCAGAGATTGCCGTAGAAAGAAAAAGAATGTAGAGGAGAAGAAGGCAAGGAAGGCTAATTACTAATACGTGGTCGCCGGCAGTTGAGAGAGAGAGAGAGAGCACGGGAAACGGTTAGACGGACCGTCAAGGCAACTCTAAAGATGAAGCCCACCTAAAAAAATATGGCTAGAGAAGAGTATAGAGAGAGAGAGATAGAAGAAGAGAGACGTGACACGCGGAGGTAGACCCGGTCTGAGGGGCGTGGGTATGGGAGAGAGACGTAGAGAGAGGAAGGGCAGAAGAATTACTGAGTGGTTTCTCGACCACAAAGGCGCCAATTGGTTGCAAATAATTTTAATACAGTATTCTTACAAGTGTGGGCCTCAAATTTGACTAAGTTGCTGCCCCGATTCCCCGTCCTTGTGCAAACCGAGGTTGATTTTCAAATAATGCAGCGGCACGCTCCCCGCTAGCTGGCCACACTCCACTCCCACGAAAGCAGGGAATTAGCATATGGGAATTCCTGGAATGTCCGTCTAATCTGAATTCGTGGCATACAGTGACGTGACATTGACACTCAGGGGTGGGGAGAGGAGAAGAGGAGCACGACAGGGCGGGACTGGGTTCGCTGTGCAGGGTGCAGATGAGAGAGAGAGAGAGGGGCGGACTGGTCGCCGCAGGAGAGAGAGAGAGAGAGAGGTGGCGGACGTGCGTGCGTCTTGCTGGTACGCAGTGCGATGATGATCATAGAGAGAGACAGATGACGTGTGAAAATGTTTGCGGCATAATCTAAAGAGGTCGCCCAGCAGTGAGAGAGAAGACGAGAGAGAGAGGCGGAAAAACTATAATAATAACCTTAAAGGGAGGGCCAGGAGTCAGTCCGTGGTACGGGAGGTTTACTGGCATAACGCAGACATGTAGCTTGAATGAAGGTAGGTAGAGAGACAAGAAGACAGTACGTAGAACGCGCAAACGCATTTGGTGCTTCACCGCAGAGGGTAGAGATGAATTTTAAATTGTATGAATAGAGAGAAAAGTGAGATGTACGGACTGGTCATCAAAGCACGCTACGAGTGAGAGGAGAGAAAGTATTAGAGAAGTATGGGGCGCGCGAGTAGCAGCGAACTTGCGCCGCAGCAAGTGAGAGGAGAGCACAGGAGACAGAAGCGGAGTAACCGGTGCTTCTCCGTTTTGCGAGGGCGGAGCCAAGGCGAACCGGCTCGCCGCCGGGAGCAAGAAGAAGTAGGCGAGTATTGTGACCAGATTATTTAGGTTTCTTAGGCAACAGAGCGTCTGACACTTAGTTCGCCTCAGTGTACGAGTTTCTCGAGCGGTGCGGATATGTGTGTCATCAATAATCACAAATAGTGTTGCGTTACTAGTTAGTAATGGTTATATACGGGGCCGAGAATCTATAGAGCTAGTTTAGAGCACTCGATAGCTTGAGGTTATTGCGATATTCACTTTTTAATTGCTATTCTCTTATCATAAATTATACAGCATATTAACTCTACACGCTGGAATCTCACTGAGACCTATAATGTCCCAGTTTATAACGATATTACACATCGCGATATGTGAGCACCTTTAAACTAGAATTATAAAATTTCCACCAGTGGACTAACATCTCGCCCTATCACCCGGTCTGTAGCCGCTTAGCTTGGATAGTGGTTTTGCGCAAACTTATCAGAATCGTGGCCATTTGAGTGGCGACCACGGGCGACCCCGTAATCGCAACGGCTCAAATGCCCCAGAAGCTAACCAGCTAATTAAATGTAGGCTATTGAGTGAAAACTAGCTGCCGTTACAACGTGCGATGGCGTCGTGCGTGCTTCGGTGGGATAATAGGTATGATGCGTATGCTTGCAGTCAGCAGTAGCATTGCGGGTGTTGATGCGATGGCCGTGCGTAGCGTGCGTGTGTGCGTGCGATGTGTGCGTGCGTAGCGTGCGGGTGTGCGTGCGTGACGTGCGTTAGCGTGGGTGGGTAAAATGTGTATGATTAGTATTTTTGGCAGGTGCTAGTAGCATTGCGTGTGTGTGTGCGTGCGTGCGTTGCGTGGCGAGTCGTGCGTGAGCGTGGTGGGTAATGTGTATGATTAAGTATGCTTTCAGAGGCCAGCTAACATTGCGGGTGTGCGTGGGCCGTGCGTGGGCGGCGTGACGTGTGTGACGTGGCGTGCGTGCGTGCGTGGGGTGGGTAATCGGTATAATTAAGTATGCTTGCAGGTGGCAGTACAGCATTGCGGGTGCGTGCGAGATGTGCGTGCGGGCGTGCGCTGCGTGTGGTGGTAATGGTATGATTAGTAATGCTTGCAGGTGGCAGTAGCAATTGCGGGTGTCGTGTGTGTGCGTGGCGTGGCGTGCGTGGCGTGCGTATGCGTGCGGCGTGCGTGCGGCGGCGTGCGTGGGTAATGGTATGATTAGATATGCTTTGCAGTGTGGCAGTAGCCATTGCGGATGATGTGTGTGTTGTGCGTGTGTGCGTGTTTAGTGTGCGTGCGTGCGTGCCGTGCGTGCGTCGGTGCGGTGTGTTGCTTAATGGAACTCATTGTCTGAGCAGGACTGAAGGAGCCGAATATTGCAATGAGCCGTGAGGTGTTGTATGTGCCGTCATTGAACGAAGTTTGAAGGGGGTATATGAGTCATCTTACGGTCGGGCGGGCGGGGGGCGGGCAGGCGAGCGGGCGTTCGTTCAAAAAAGTTTGTGGCGCAAACTAGCTCTCCGACAGTTTTCTAAGGGATCCAATCAAACTTAATACACTTGATCACCATGAAGTGTAGATGTGCGTGACATATTTTTGCTTGCGTCGGTAACCGGCGTTGCAATGGAAAACGCGTATCTCATCACTCTTTGTCTGATTTTTTTTTTTTAATTCCATCATTTTTTGAAGTCTCCGTGTATATCTTTACTCAATTATATATGCACACCATGACTCTCCCATTTCCCCTCTGGCAAAGGTATCGCAGAGTGTATTAATCACTATCCAGTGATGCTCATTGGGGTCGTTGTTCGTATCAGGTACTAACAGATATGTACCCGAGGTAGCATATATGTATACACTAAAAGTGTACCCAGACTATATACTACAGAAGTGCTACCTCATAAACCCTAAACACAACGCCTCAACCCTAACCACTAACCCTAAACATACCTTCATATAAAAATATAAACATAATACTAAGACAACAGCTAAAACATACCTGCGGGTACAATCTGTAGTACCGTGATACGTACAACACGAACCCCATACTGCATCTAGTGATTAGCGTCCATCTAGTATATAAATGGTTTTGTTGTTCTAAGGCTATTACTCCTAACATTCAAAAGGCCATTAACACTCGTCTGTACAGACTACCAGGGGTCACTTCCAAGAGGTGCGCGACGTGCCTATCGCTGGCAATGGAACACTGAGTAGAAGTTAGTATTTACTGTAATGCATAAACAGTGCTCTATCAATCTTGATCTTATAGCTGATTAAAGGCTGAGAAAACTTTATCCATCTGTTGTAGGTTTAGTTTCGTTAACAGATAGGAAAGAGCAAAATCAACAGAATATTAACGAAACAGATATATGGACAAGCATATTAAAACAGACTATATAAAGAGCGTATGTGTTATTAGGATGAGTTAGGTAGTATGCCTTACACTGTAGAAAAAAGGTAGACTGAGTAGACGTAACACATGTGTTACCGTAACTTACCTGTATGCTGTATGGAAGAGTCGCGATACCTTGTTTCATGTCTCGGGCGGCTGCCTCGTTACAGTTCCTGAATGTCGGTGCGGCCCCCTACTGGAAGGACAGCAGTATGAAAACACTGTCAAACTGTGCGGAGGAATTTCGAGAAGGGAATACGGAAGAAGACTGCAGAGATATCTGTAGCGCTGAAATCGATGGTGGGCACCAAACTAACGTAAGTGCATAGCCTTAAACGTGCGGCCGCGAAGTTTTAACTCTCTGTTAATACTCGTCGATCGCGCCGTATACGAACAATCTATATTCAACCGTACGATTGGCTTTTCGCAAAACTGCACGTTTTATCGTTGTTCCGTAAGCTTTCACGTACGTGATGGTTAGTAATCATAACTTTCTCATTCGGGTCAGCAGCTTGGCTACTATGTTTTGTAATGGTCGTAATTAATGGTAGGCAGTTATTTACAGTCAAAAACCAAGTAATTAGTGGACTGCATTAAGGTTGCAATTATATGAGCTGAGTTATCACCTCTATAGAGAGCAAAAAATCTGGTTATGAATTGACATTTTTACTGGTTTCACTTTGAGTCGATACAATTTTTAAAAACCGAAGCAGGTTAATTTCAACTTAGGGGCCGACACTCCTAAAATATAGCAAAGGAAGCATGTGTGAATCTACTGTGTTTATGGGTTGACACTATTATTGACAACAGCGGGTAATAGAGAGAGATTTTTCACACGCCGGGCGAGTGTTAAATTTTAGCCAACGAGTGCGCCTATTCTGTGTTTCTTGATCAGAGATGCCGAACGCATACGATTTTATTCGTATTTTATATCGAATTTGTTTGCATTAGTTGACCAACTCACGACCAGTTTTGCATACAACATAACATGTTTTATTCGACTG